TTTTGAACATTTTGCCATTCATTCATATGGGATCAATTTCGCCAGAAGAACGACGATATTCCGTGAACCATTCGGCGAAACGTTCCACAAAGTAATAGCAATCCGATCGGGAACAATCCGCACGTTTCGGTATATTACTGTCTATGTAGTGTAAAAACTGTGGGAGGACTTAGGGTGGTAAATTTGGCTAGAATAAGAATAATATATATGTGAGATAACATTAAGTGGTCTTGCTATGCAAGTAAGGCAAGTAAGTGACTGTAACAAAACTGAGTGGAAACTAGGGATGTCCATGGGCAAAAAATTTGGTTCGGTTCGGAATAATTCGACACTTCGGTTTGGTTCGGCACTTCCAAAATTTGGGACTTCGGCATTTCGAAGCTTCGGCAACTCAGAACTTTGCCAATTCTAAACATCTGTAGAGCTCCCTAACCCTACCACTAACCTTAACCCTACCCTTAACCCTAGTCCTTCCCCTAAACCTAACTCATCATTCATGTAATTTTCCCTCCCTCTTTTGTTTTGCCACTTTGGAAATTCTGAAGCACTTTGGAAATTCGGAAGCATCCGGATTTCTGAATTGCCCGAATTTACATTCTGAACTAAACGAATTGCACATGTCTAGTGGAAACCAGTTACTATCAGAAATGATAGTGGAGCGCTAAAAAACGTTAATTATGTAATTATGAATATACAACAGTATGCTAGATAAATAAAAAAACACAATATAGTGTAATATTTAAGATGAAGCCAATGTGAGTGTAAATATAATCAATATGCACTCACAAGGGGAGAGCCAAATAAGGAGAGGCTCAGATCTCATGAGCAGATGTGTCCTGATGAGACACAGGTCCTCTTCAGTCTTTGTCCATAGTGGCTCAATGGGAGATTTAGAGCAAATAACAAATACAGCTGATGGTGAAGTACAGTTCTTCTATAAGGGGGACACTTTCCTTATTTGGTCCAGGAAGCAGTAGAAATGGAGTAGCACAAATTGGAAGTTAAAAAACTATTACATTTATAAAACAAAAGTGTAACATATATCAAATATAAAATAAAAGATAAAGTTTAAAGTACTTCAGTCCTGCTGAGACACTTTTCGCCACATTCAGTGGCTTTCTCAATCGGTGCCTGCTTCCTTCACGCATCCATCTTTTAAATCCTCAACCACTTCCTTATAGGTCACTTGCTCGGAAATTCATCCAATCACGGATGTTCTATTTGGAAGTTGTGTATATCATAGCTGATTTTCGTATATAAATGATGTCTAAGGAAGTGGTGCGGTAGTTGTTTGTGTTGCCTCCATTTTAGTTTTTATTCTGCCATTTTGGTTAAAGGCATGTTAAGGGAAAGAATCATGTAAACCCGAAAACCGGAAGTGACGTGTCGGTCCTAAAATTGCGTCACTTCCTGGTTACGGTTTCCTGGTTGTGCAGTATCAGATCTCCAGTTGGTTAAGAAATGACAAATGTTTAATTGATTTAAAAACTAGAATATAAATATTACACTTACATAACACAATAAAAATATATATAAATATAAAAATATATATAAATATAAGACTCAACCTCTATTTACAAAGCATATAATTGCAATTTAAATTGTCAAGGAACATATTAAGATGTATTCATATAAATTGAAATGAAATCATTTTTAAAAAAAATAGAAATAAAATCATTTTATAAAAAATGGCAGAACTCAAAGTCATTCTTAAGTGCATTGGGCACCAATGCATTCAGATTGAAAATCCATTTCATTTCAGTCCGCCACATTTTTCTAATCATATCTTTGCCTCTCCAATCTAGCACTACTTTTTCAATTTCAATGAATTCTGTACCTCTAGGGTCTTGATTCTGTTTAATTTTATAGTGTAGTGATAGATTTTGTTTTTCACAGCCATTCTTTATATTTCTTAAATGTTCTTGAATTCAGACATTCAATTTATGAGTCGTGCGTCCTACGTAAAACAGGCCACAAAGATATTTAGTCAAATATATCACTCTTGTTGAGTGATGTGTAATAACCTGTTTAATGTTAAAGATGTTGTCTTTTTGTGTAAATTTGTAACCAGACGTTTATGATTCCCAGTGTTCTTGCATGCGCAACATTGTCCGCATCCATAGAATACTTTGGATTCTTTAAAAAACTGGGTGGTTTCTTTGGTTTTAAAGTGACTGTGTACTAGATTAGTTTTCAAATTGAATACCCCTCTATATATAATACGACGCTTATCTGCAGTATTTGACCTAACATTTTGTCATTTCTTAAAATGGGCCAATATTTGTTAAAAAAACAGTGCCTGTATTTACTTTATATTGTAATAGTGTCTCTCTGGTGTGCTTGTTGTAATAAGCTGTCCTTATACCCTTTATCTTTAAAGTTTTTAAAACATTTTTAGGATTGTTCTTGAAATTTCGTTTCATCTGTGCAATTTCTTTTAATACGTACAAGCTGTGCTTTGAGGGCTTTTGGGAGCCATGGTGAATAGTGGCAGCTGCTCTCTTGAATATAACTATTCACATCTACTTTCTTAAAGAACGTACTTGTTTTAAGTAGACCTTCCTCTACATAAATATTAAGATCTAAAAAGGTCACCTGAGTATAGCTAAAATCGCAAGTAAGAAAAAAATTCCCCAATCATTAAGATTTAGATATGCTAAAAAGGAAACTAGGGAGTTCTCATCTTCCTTCCAAATAAAACATATGTTGTTTATGTAACGGCGATAGGTGACCAGGTTCGCATCCCACCTATGTTCCTTCAAAATGAATTCATGTTCCCACAAGTACATGAATAAGTTTGCGTAACTGAGTGCGAACCTGGTCCCCATCGCCGTTCCACATATCTGAAATTAAAAAGTGTTGTTAAACCAAAAATAGTTGTTTGATAGGATCCATTTGATCCCCTCCAGAATAAACTCAATGTGAGTCTGAAGGACCTTCTTGGAATTTTACAAAAAGTGTCTGGTGGCTTGACAGCATCATTCATGTTCAATAGTGTACAGTGAGCTCACATCTGCAGTCACTAAAAAGTAATCCTGTTCCCACTGTACACGATTCAGAACCTGGAGGATGTCAATATTATCCCTCAGGTAGCCTGGACAATTGTGGACAATTTGTTGGAGGTTCCAATCAATATATTGTGACAATCGGCTCAAGGTGGAGTTAATCCCTGAGACTATAGGTCTCCCAGGGGGGTTTTCTTTGTCTTTGTCTATCTTTGGGAGGTAATAGAAAACCAGAATCTTAGGATGGGGAATGTTTAAAAATTCTGATTCTTTTTTGTTTAGTATACTCAAGGTTTTTTCCTTTCTCAATCAGCCTACTGTATGCACTCAGGAAGGAAGTGGTTGGGGATTTAAAAGATGGACACATGAAGGAAGCAGGCACCGATTGAGAATGACACTGAACGTGGTGAAATGCTTCTTTAAACTTCTTTATCTTATTTTATATGTGATATATGTTACACTTTTGTTTAATAAATGTAATTAATTGGCTCTGGATCAGGTGAGCAAAGTTTTCATTCACTTACTATTTTTCACACTTTTAAACTGTACTTCACCATGAGCTGCTTTTGTTATTTGCTCTATATCTCCTATTGAGCCACTATGGACAAAGACTGAAGAGGGCCTGTGTCTCCTTAGAAAACATCCGCTCATGAGATCTGAGCCTGTCCTTATTTGGCTCTACCCCATGTAAGTGCATATTAATTATATTTACACTCACATTGGTTTCATCTAAAATACTACACTATATTGTGTTTTTTTAGAAATTTATCTAGCATACTTTTGTAATTTCAAAATTGGTGTACAGTAATTACTTAAAAATAGTACCCTATTTGTAACAGGTAAGTTCAAGCAGTAAACTTCTGGATGGAGCAGGGGGTCTTTTGGAAGTTTGCAAATTCTTTATTTTTTGGGATATATTTATATCTTTTATTATATGTTCTTTCTCAGATTGTTTATACACATTTTGGCGCAGCCAAAATTTCTGTAATTCTTTTTCTCACATCTCTAAAGGGTTTGAGAGGAATCCTTTTCCTTTTGGGTTGCTGCCTTGTTTATTATTTTTCTGTTAATTAGTGTTGACCAGACCCCTTGCTTACCAGGAACCAGGAACAAAATCATACCATAACCTTATGTTCATCATGATTTTATTCCTATAGACCAGTTCCACTGTTTAGTGAGATGAAAAAAAGAAGAAAAAAAAAGTTACTTGTGTACTACCCCAGATCCCATTGAAAGGATATTATTAAAAAATCTCCAGTTATTTAATTGTGCATAGATATTTAGGAAAGTGCGCAAGTAACTTTTTTCTTTGGTTTTTATTGTATGGATTGGGGCTGAACGCAGGGCTGACTTTTGTATAGTGAATAGTGTGTCGTGAATAGTGAACTAAGTAATGTTCTGGTTTTTGCAGAGATGTGGGCCGCAGTTGTGCAAGATTTGTCAGACAAATATGGCAGTGGGGAGCTGAAACTAAGCATTCTGGCTGTCTGTAAAAAAGTCCAGCAATTCTAATCCGTATTATTGAGAGTTAGATGAATGTGCATTATGAATCAACCTTTTTTGCAATAACGAAGCTGTGATGGTGCTTAGAGTGCACTTTTCAGGGCATGGGTTTATACTAAAGAATTCCAAATACATTTCAAATGTAAGGTCAGAATAGAGAATCTGTAAAAAAAAATTCTCTAAATCACCTATACTTTCAATTCCGCTATTCTGGCCATAAATCTGAAACTCTCTCTGAATTCTCACTCAAGTATATAACCCTGTGTGAAAAATAAGTAAATTGGACAGGGGGATTTTAAAAATTTTGAGTGTCAGAATGATTACAATTTGTGTATGTTGCAGTTATGTTTTAATATCAAAGTTTGTTTGAAAGGAACATTACACTTTAACAGACATATCAGACATTTTGTTTGCTCTGAAATCGCTCCCCTAACGGAATAAAGTCCCATAATTCTATTATATGCAAAATGTGTTACTAAAATCATCAAATACGTTTGAATTCCACTTGTTGCATTATTTTTAGAAGCGTCTTTCTTTAATGAAGCAGTGATTAATGACAAATGAGAATCACATGAAAGTGTTTTATTGAAGCCAACACCCAAAGGATACAATTTCACAACAAAAACCAAATCACACTAAGTGTCAAAAACTTTTATAAAGCACCAGTAACAATACCTGTGTATAATCAACATTTTGAAAACCTCTATTTGAGTGCTGTGCAGTAATCTGTGTAACTTCATAATAAATTTGTGCATATTAACCACAAAACACATATGAAAGCCTTGAATAAATAGATAATACTTAGTAATACAATAGCAATTTTTAAATTTTATCAATAAGGTAAATCATGAAAAGAAAACCAGAACCCGAGAATTCAAAAGAATGAATTAAAAAAAAAAAAAATCTACTTATTTTGTTATTTGGGCTCAAAATTTCCCATTACTTGCTAGCCATTGGTGAATGAAGAATTCACTCTTGGTCGATGTGCCATGGACTGTACAGACTTGCAATGACAATACTGTTTAGGCCTGTCTAGTAGCTTAGGACTGAAATTGTGAGCCCAAATCATTACTACTAATGTATATAAATATATGTCTTCTGTAGGGGTTCCCTCTCCTTGCCATAATGATTACAAATACGATAGGCTGTCCTGAGTACTTTCGGCCTTGTTAATTGAAATACCATATCTGTATTTCTCTTCTGGCAATCCATAAAAAAATAAACATTTCAGCCAGTTTCTATGCAAAACACGTGGAATGTAATATGTAGTCATAAGCTGGGTCTATTTAATTGGATATAGTACAAACTCTAAAATTGTAATGTTTATTCATGAGCTGGACCTATTGAACTTAATACAGTGATGGAAAATGATCCATTAAGGTTTTTAAATATAACAAAGGGAGTCTTGGTGTCAATTTTTTGCCACCTTCATAGTGACCAGGAGGCACACGGTTAAGGAACTCTCCCTCCTTTTTTCAGATTTCAATGTCCTAAATTATGGGTAGGAAAGAGAACATTAGACCTGATACTAATCTAGCTCAAATTATTAAAATTCCAATTTCGCTGAAGGCAAGTATCTAAAATATATATGTACTTTCTTTAAAAGAAAGGAAAGAGAATGGAAAAAACACCAACATTGACCATATATGGCTGATTTATTTTAACACAGGGATCTTCATAAATGGTAAGTTTCTTAATGACCCTTCTTTAGCTGAGGATTTAGCTCAGATACCAATCCTTTAACAAAGTTATATAAAAATATTTTTTTGTACAACAAAACTTCAGACACCTCTCTACTGCAGTGGTTGCCAAATGAGTCTTTTAGGCATACCAAGTGCCAGGATTCCATTGCTATAGGGATACTGGAAAAACATGGACCAAGGATTTACCTTGAAGACTAGGCTGGGAGCCACTGCTCTTAATATTATGGGCAGTTTTCTTGGGCATTGCAGCAAAGATAAGCCTGTTACAACCAAATGGGGACTAAATAAGATCGCATGACAGCAACCTAGATTTAGATTCTGAGCTACAGGATAAGAATTACTGTTTTGAAACTCTTACTGTTTTTATTCTATAGACACTTCCATTGGCCTCATTGAGTTCTAAAGACCAGTAATTGTCTGTGTTACTCACTCCCCTTGTTGTCTTGCAGTGTCTTTAAAATCAGTGGTTTGCAGTTAGCACGCAAGTAGACATTTGGTTCCTTACTCTCCAGCAATGCACTCTGTAAAACCTAAAGGGCTAAGATAGTCTTTACAAGTATACCCAAGTCTATTTAGGGGCATCTTATAAAAATGCTGTGTACTCCTTTAAATATTTAATATCTTAACGTGTAGCCAACAGTTGCTTCATCTACAATAGAAAAGAAGGTGTGAACTCTTCTAAAAAGGAACTTCCACAACACATTTAAAATAATAAATAGCAAAAATAAAAGTAATAATAAATAGAATAAATTCAAAATGATCAACTCAGAAATGACATTAAAGTAATGAATACTGTTGAGGATTCTGTAATTTCCAACACCATGGTGAAGGATCTTTGAAGCGGTTCCTTCTTTACAAAGAAAACATTGAGTAATACAAATTGTATTAAATTGTAGATCTTTCAATAGACATTAGAATGGGAAAAAACACATTAAGTGCAACACTAAATTGATGGGAGTAATCACAATAAGTTATAAAACACAGTTTGGTGGATAGTTACAAAACAGAACAGAAAACAGTGAATCCGCACGATCAATGTGATGACAGTGACAAAAATCGCTGTTTATTGCATTACTCTTTGAATAATGCAAGGGGAAAAAAAACTGAAATATACCTTACAATCCAAGATGTAGTACTCAGGTTACAGGATCATAACTATGCACTTTAAATAAATAGATTGCATTTTTTGTACATTCACTGAGCAACATTCTAGGATGAACTCACAAAGTACAGAGCATCGATCGGTTCTGTGTGCTTTCGCTCCTCAACAATCTAGCACCATGAGGAATATAGTTTTAAAACAACTGGAATGCCCAGGTTAACCACCACTAATCTACATAACGCACTGGAGAGCCTGGATTATTTTCTAATTTTATATATCTGAAGACAGGCCTTAATTAAGAAGCTGGATAAACCACTAGAAAATGTTGTGTATTGTGACAAGAGTGATGCTCTGTGATGTGAGTTAATCCTGAAATATGTTCTATTGTGTAATATATGTACATTGTATTTTGTACATATGCCACTATATTCTGAACACTGTATCTTAGATTTCACATCAGTTTTGTTCTCAATGTTTATTTTACACTCAATATACTTTCTATTTATATATCAATATTCAAAACATAAAATAGTAAAAGCCATAAAAAATTCACAGCCTATATTTTTTCCCCAAAACAGGACTTAAAACATCAATCCAGAATTTGCTGATAAGTGTATTAGTTCTGTAAACTGATCCTATAGCATAATAAATGGTGTTTAATTTAGAGACTTAATTTTATATCAGTGTGCTATATAAATAAATGATATGGCACACTGAAAAAGATTAATCTATGAAGTTTATTCATTAAACAGTGAGTTGATCTAGGCTGATCTGAGATGACAACGTATAAAATGAAATAAAATTAATTAATTGGAATACATATTAAACTTTATTATTCTTTCAAAATTGGTTATAATTTGGTTTCTTTTTCAGTTTGATTGGCACCTGAAATTAAGATGTAGCATAGACCTGTGTAGAGATACAGAAATAAATTTAGTAACTGATAATAGCACAAAAAAAGTTGTACCTTTTAATTTTGTATTAGTTATTTTCATTGTGAAGATTCTAGTAGAACATATGAAGGATCAATACATATCCAAGCAAGCTGGTGAGATACCTGAAACATAAAGAGCTTGTTATGGAGTGCAGGGACCCCACACCACACTCTCAGGGAATTAGTGCATTTCAAATTTAAGGTCAAAGTAACAAAACTGATAACTTTCTTTATTCTATTCTTCCAGTTCATTAACTTTGCTCACTTTAGCCAATAACCTTGCACATCTACTGGATAGTAACGGGAGGCAGCATGTAGTATCCATCTCTGTGCAGCAAATGTTTTACAAGTACAACATTGAGTAAAGATAGTGCCTTAATAGTTATGGAGATAAACATATAAAATAGAGCCTACATTTGATCAATTTCATTGCAATTCTGATTCTTGGCCAATTTTTTTTTTTCCAAAATGACTGTTTATTTACTAGAATGTCCCTGTGGGTTCCAGTATGGAGGTATGACTTCCAGGAAAGTAAAAAGAAAGATAGTTGAACAGTGTCGAACATTAAAAAGAGAATTTAGCAATCACTCTGTTTCAAAACATTTTTCAAGTCACAACCAACAAAATTATAAAAGAAATAAAGAAATGGAATGGGTCTACAAACTTCAAAGATTAGCTCCAGCAGGATTATTTACTTTATTTTATCTAAGTTTATTTTTAGCTTTTTACATTTTTTATTACTAAAACAATCTGTTTATAAAAGAGGAATATTTATTGACGCTTAGAATTACCTTCATTTAATTAATTTTAATGGTGTGCATTGCAATATTAAATTACGCACTACTCAATATTTAGACCTTCATAGTTAGATTTTTATATGTTTTTTTTTTTTTTTTAATTCTTTATTTTAATTGTGCATGAATATGACAATCAGGTTTGCCGTGCCACAATAGCTTGGACAAACAGATTAAGACATTAATATACAGGTGAATGGCACGTGAGATTACTGCACATTTTTGTTAAAATTATTACATTGCAGAACAAGAAAAAACAGTCTAGGCCTACAGTCGCTAGAATATGTGGTGTAACTGTAATGTGCTCAGCTATGCCCTGTTGTTAGTCCACACTGACTGTAACAAGTGTATTGTGGTTTTGAGGTGGGTGGTCCAATGTGTCAGTGCCATGTTAGAGCAGGCTATCCGACTTGTCTCTAAGGTTGGATTAAGATTGGTCACCATGCGTTTCGCGGTGCGTTCCTAACCCTATCATGTGGATTTAATGATATATATTCAGTATACCACTATATATATAGGTATATGGACGGTCAGTGTGGCGGGGGGGCAGGGAGTTAGCTAGCTAGCTAAGTATCCCAGGGTGCGGGCTACTGCAGGTATCAGGTTCTACTGGGCCAGTGCTCCAGCAGGCAGGTTGTCACAGCCTTTGAGTGTGTCACCTAGAGAGTAGCCCTCTTTGTGTGCTGGGATAGCAGCGTTGTGTTATAGGTGTTTGGGTGTAATGGCGATCTGGCTTCGTGGCTCCGTCATGATGGGCTAGATCCTTCGTATACCGGGGGTGGGCCGTGGTTGAGGTACCCGCTGGAGTGTTTGGTGCGCACGAGAATATGGGGGGATGTTTGGTGAGGCTGCCTGCTGGTTTGTGTGCTGTGACTAGGGGTAGCGTCGTGGAGGGGGGTGTGCTACTCGGATTTGGAAGCTGGTTCATCGCTCCCGTTTGGGTAGGGTAGCTAGGGAATTGCTCTAGGGCCCCTGGGTAGGTGGGAGGGGGGCAGTTGGGCTGTGTATCTTGTAAGGAGTGGTGTGGAGACATCAATGGGGTATAGTAGCCGGGTGGCTTTCGCTAAACATGCCTAAATAAAAGTTTAACTGTGTGGCTATGCCAGCATTAAAAGATATGAACGCTGCCAGTCCTTCGGCACTTCCCTCTATTTGAGGGGTATGTTGAGCCTGGGTCCGGTTGGGGCTTCTCATCTTGTATCGGCTTCGTTTCGAGGTACGAAGGGGACTATGTTGGGTATGTCCCAGGAATGTCCAGGTTTGGCAGTGTTGGGCTTGTGCTGGTTGAGCCCCAGGCTGTGGAGGAATGGGTCGGAGTCAGCAGCTGAGGTGAGTCGGCGGGTGGTCTCGCCCTGTGTGGCCACGAGTGTGTGGGAAGGGCCCCATCTGTACTGGACGCCTGCTTCTCGGAGGGTCTTGGTGACCTGGCTGAGGGAGCGTCTCCACTCCAACGTTGCCCTGCAGAGATCCTGGAGAAAGGTTAGTTGTGAACCCTCAAATTTGAGTGGGCCCTTGTTCTTGATGGCGTCCATCGTTGCTTGTTTGTCGCGTAGGGACTGGAACCTCAGGAGGACATCACGGGGAGCGTCCGCCGGAGCCCTTGGGGACTTGGGGAGTCTGAGTATTCCATCTAGTTGCAGGTTCTTTGCCTGTTTGGGGTGCAGGATTTCCGACAGGAGGCGTCTAGTAAAGTGGGGTAGCTCGGTGTCGTTGACAGTTTCCGTGATGCCTCTTACTTTTATGTTGATTCGTCTCCTGGAGTCGTCCATCGCATCGACTCTGGCCTGCAGGGCCTGGTGTGAGCCGTGGAGTTGTTGTAGTCGTTCTGTTGCGTCTGTCTGGCGTTGTGCCATGGAGGTGATGTCCTCCTCTGTGGCCTTCACCCTGTCCGTTACGGCTGTTACCTCCTCGCGGAGTAGCGCCATATCCGTGCGGAACCATGTGCGCAGGTGTTTCAGGAGGCCCAGGATGTCTCCCTTAGTTGCGGGAGCCCCCAGGTCCCCTAGTTGCACGGCGGAGAAAGGGTCATCTGCCTCAGGTATGGCATCTGGGGAGTCCAGTGGGTCTTCGTCCGAGGATAGGCCTGGGGAGTCTGGCGCTGCCGCCATTTTGGTTTTAGGCCTCGCCAGGAATATGTCTCCTATTCGACGTGTACCGTCGTCCGAGGATGCTTTCAGTTTTTTTGATCGTTTCCCCATATTGGTGTTGCAGGGGGATGTTTAGTTTTTGACGGTGCACCGTCTGTTTTATAGTCGTTTGCTCGAGTTTTGCCGCTTTCAGCTCGGAGCTCAGCCGACATGCGACTTCTCTCCATGAAGGTCAGGCTCCGCCCCCCTCTTGGCCAATTTTTAAGAGGCGTTTTAAATAAGAAGTACTTTAGCGTGGTCTTACTCAGAATTTTCTTTTCTTTCACTACAGTGTGGCTTGGTGATAAAAATGTTTTTAAAAAAAATTACATAAACATAAATAAATAAAAAAGAGTGGGGACCAGTTGTTTAAGTAAAACCTCCCAACTGGAAATGCTGAATCATCAGCAGTAGCAATATTCTGAAACAGGTTCAACTTTATGTCCATATTTTTTGTTTGACTGTTTTTGAAAAAAAAATATTCTCTAACCAACGTACCCTATACCTTTTGGTTTATATTTGTTTCCCAAATGTCATCTAGGTATAACATATACAACCAACTCACTGTTCAGCAAATATATCTCCTTAGTTTAAACATACCTGTTTATAAATTTGGCAATTAAAAATGACGCGTCACTTTGGTTTCCACACTTTGGTATTTTGATTTCCACATATATAAATTTAAGCATACAGAAAATATTAAGCAATGTAAATAAAATAATAGGAGATAATGCAATCTGCTAAGCAAAACTGAAGTATCTTCATAACGTTTCATCTAATTTTTAGATTATTATGTACCTTATTTTAAGCTTGCCGAATCACATCTTAAAGTAACACAGTAAGTGACATTTTTATTTTCATAACATAAACAGCCAGCCAATCTTAGGAATGGGATTTGTAGTGATTTTTTTTGGAATGGTTGGTAATGCTGAATGCCCTTTGTACCCAAAGTAATTCCAAGATGGCTAAAAACCCAATTTAATCGAAGAAAAAACAAAAAATTGAATAGGGAGTTTCCACAATGTTTAAAGTAATATACAATTATGGAAATACGATTTCTGACTAACGCTATTTCAGAAGGTTCAGGTCAATGAAATAAAACACGCTTTGGTTTAAAAACCTTAGCGGTTTAAAAAAAAAAAAAAAAGATTGCTATTTTATCACTATTACTGCGATTTTTTTTTATTTTTTTTTAAAACCTAACATTTAGCAATTAAGATTTCACTCCAATACAATTCAAAGTTTAGTGAACGACACTAAAAGTGCAAGGTCGGTAATTCAAAGTCAATTTCAAATTTTAGCTGAAAAATGTTGGATAATTATTCAATTCAGTTTTGTTTTCAATTCAGCTCTTTAAGCCTAAGATTTTAACATTTTCTTTGAATTCTTGACCATTTACACTTTAGCGATTAAACCTGTCAGTATGTAATTCAACCTTGCTACTTTAACTTATGTGTGAAGCTGTGTTTAGAATATAGGAAATATGTATGTGTAGTGTACGTCTAAAAAGAGTGGTATCATTTCAAAGGGTTCTCTTCACCAAAGTGCAAGACAATTAAAGAAAACACTCTTGAAACGTAGTTTTAAATCGCTTGAGTGCTTCTACCATCACTAATGGAAAAAGCAGCTATTCAGAAAAAAATAAAATATAAAAAAAATAAAAAATTTCTTTATCATTTTTTTGACTAACAACCCTTTAAGAAAAGAAGGGGAGCGGTCAAGGATAGGGGTTTAGTGTAACACCCTCATCCCGTACCTAATCCACAAAAAAAGGTCACCTAGACTGGAAAAGTAGGGGATAACCCTAGGAAATACCTTTAAGGTTTAATAATATTATATATGATGCACTGTGAAAAAGATTACCACCGCTCTCCAAAAAGAAATAAACACCAAACAACAACAAAAAAACATTCAGAAAGCTACCATATTTTCTTTTACCATAAGCAGTTAACTACATCTATGTGTAACTGCATCATAACTCATCCTCTGAAACATGGCCAACTTTCAGCAATTTACACTCTTCCGTAACGTGGCAGTTTTCGAGGAGGTGACTGTATTGCTTCTTGAGGTCATCATATACGCAGACAGACTGGTGTGAGTGAGGAAATGGCAGGAGGTTTTCATTCAGCAGCATTTGCACTTGGTACTCATCCTCGGGGGTCTCGGCCAAATCGCAGTGATATAGCACAAACACCAGGTTGGAAGCGTAGGGGACAATACGTCCGCTGCGAAATTTCCTTTCACTTTGTAAACTGAAGTTCTCAGCTGTAAGAGGCTTCTCATCCTTAAACAGACCCATCAGAGCTAGAAGGGGCAAAAGGGTCTCTGCGTGTCCAAACTGCATTACCACCGGGTTGGAGACTTTCTGGGACCTGGAACAGAATGCATTGTTACTAGATAATGTTCACATATCTTAAATACGTGAAATACTTAAATAAAATACACTGAGACAACATATTAAAAATAAATAAAAAGAGTAGGCTGTGGGAAAAAAGTAATTATAGAAAATTACAGTCATACTATTGATATACACTC